TAATCAGTAAATGATACTGCAAAGTATGAAGATGAATTTAGATGGCTAGGAAAAATGCTATCGTCCATACCTGTGTCGGCCTCGGGGGTATTTATAGGAGTCGGAAACAGGGTGGTAATGGTGCCACGCGTCCCACGTTGGCCTTCCCACCATTCCCACGTTCTGAGTGAGGCATCTTAACTTCCCGCTTGGAGGTTGGGTCAGGTAACCGTCATGTATCCTTTCCAATTCATCCGAGATTTTGTGGCTAAGTATTGAGATGACCCTATAGATAATTTCACGTCGGTCGATGATCTTATGTAGAGGTAGAGTGCCCCCGAGGAGGGGTCGACGGTCTCGCGTAGAGGTAGACTCCCCTGAGTTTCGATAGCCTCATGTAGAAGTAGGGCACCCATGGGAGCGAGGACCTCGCGTAAAGGTAGAGCGCCAATGGTGGGCGACGATTTAGCATAGAGGTAGAGCCCCCTCTCCCGGGGAGAGGCGACGACCTCTTGTAGAGGTAGAGCACCTGGGGGATAGGTAGTCTTGTGTGGAGATAGAACGTCCCGGGAGGTCGACAGTTTCGTATTGACGTGCAATGATTTACATTGCTTATCTTCGGAGGCGATTTCCTATGTTAACTGATATGGGTATGAAAGTTATTGAAAAACTTCTGTTTGAAATCAAGAAATATATATTGAAGAATTGAAGAACATTCGGCCAGAGGGAAAGCCTCTATTGATGATTAGAGCTGCCTTGAATATTTTCTGTCGAGATAGTTTAAACTTTAATATGGTATCCGAGCTTACATATGTTCTTAGACTAAGTATGGGCAGATTTACATGTCCTCGTGTAGGTCTGTAGACCCTACAAAATTTTGTGATTTTATCTTTTTTTTTTTTTTCCCCCTTATGCACTTTCCTTCAATTTATTGTTCCCAATTTCTCTCAAATCTCAATCTTCTCCCAATATATAGATTTATCATTTTTATCAAATAATTCTCCTTTTCTAATCAATTTTCTGTATTAAAGTCGATGAATGACGATATTTTTCTCCACCTAAATTTTAAACACCTCAAAGTCCTCAACCAACAGTTCAAACCATGCTATTAAATTGAAAATCGAAAGTTGAATGATAATCTAATTGTGTATATTGAAAAGCAATGCATTTAAAAATATTGATAAGCATGTACTTATATGACGATTTATAAAAGCATGAAAACATATAACAACATTTATAACAATGTATCGAATCCTCCACAAAAGAGACTCGGGTTCTCTCTCTTATATGTAATAATTTGATTCTTACGTGGACGTAGAATATGGATGGATTACTGCTCTGAAGGGAACTAAATGCAACTATTTTCTTGGGTTTTGTTTAATTTAATTAAAGTTATGGATTAAATTTTTACGAAGTCCTTGTCTGATTTTGTTTAGAAATTGATAAGTATTTGAATTAAAGTAAATAATAATTTTAATTATACAATTTATGGACTCACGGCTTTTCAATTATATATTTTATCAACTTTTATCAAAATTTACTAAAAAATTAATTTTTATTTAAAACAAATAGGAGCTAAATTTGAGATTAACCATTTAATATTCGCTTGGTTTGCTAGTGAATATCAATTAACATCTTATGTAACTTCTTTATATGGATTATCGAGAATTTGGACATAGTTTTATTTTATTTTATTTTATTCAAGTTTCATTAATTAAATCGAGCCTAAAGGGTCTTATTCAGACATTTGTAGTGCAGTTCTCATTTAACCCTCGTTTGATTTTATTAAAAAATTATTTTTTTGTAACTTTTGAAAAGTTGATGAAAACCAACAAAATAATGAACACTTCATGGTGGACAGATGGCACATTCGTGCCTAAGATCAAATCTATCGCCTAAGATAAAGGCAGGAGCAATGTTTTGAAAGTCGAAATGGGCATCAATCCTCAAAAAAGAAAGGGTCAAGGGGGTCAAATCCTGATCGAACATAGATTCAACCAGTGATTTTTAAAAAAATAAAAAAATTTACAAAAATTCAACAAATAACGATAAGTGGAAATTAAATGGGTCAATAGGCCCAAAACACTTATACAACTCGTTATAGATATCTGGCCCCATATACAAACCCTATCATTTGAACACCATACTCATTTTTTCAGATCAAAACATAGCAGTTTGTTAAATCTTGTTGGCGCCTCCTTGAAATCGTAACCAGTTCATCAATTTTTGCTTTAAACCGAATTTTACACCTGTTTGTTTCACCCATGTGATCCGACTCCTGGTGTTTTCGATTAAATCGGACCCACCCACGTGATCGGATCGAATTTCCCTAGTGTTTTAAAAAAAAAATGGTTAAACCCTAACCTTAAGGATTCCCACGACGCTTGTCCTAGAGCATCGTGAGGGAGGCAAATCGCAGGTTATGCCTCCAAGAATACAAGGTGGAAGGCTGCTTCATATAATCGAAAACACTACCGAAAGGGGGGGATTTCCCTAGCGTTTTCAATTATATGAAGCAGGGTACAACTGAATTTTTAGATTAAATTTTTGTTTGTTTCTCATTCTTTCTTTATTCTAATGAAAAATATGATCGTTTTTCATACCAAATTAGAATTTACAATTATATTTTTCATTCTCATTTTTGCAAAAATGATGCAAAGTGAGTCTTCTAATATTTTTGAATGTTTTTTAAAATAAGTTTTATTTGTACAAAATAAATAACGTAGAAATACGATTATACAGTTTTGAGCCACATCACTCACCAAATCATTGGATCAATATGCGTAGAACGGAAAAAAAACAGTAATTAATGTCGTGTCGTCAAACAAAATAAATTAATTTTACTTTAGCCAAAGCACATAAATTGATCGAAAGACGAAAATATCACAAATCATACGCAAACTCAAATATATAACTCGAAAGATCATCACTCACATATTTCCATTACAACACCAACCTAGAACCCCAATATTACGCTGCATCAGACTAACTGCAACGGCACAAGACAAACAAATCACCTAAAATAAATAAAGCCGATTGACACACAAATCAAATATATCATATTGACTATCAATGAGATTCACATCCTGAGTGCAGACGATCAATGAAATTCATATCCTGAGAGTAGATCCAAATAGGAAAGAAGCAACAGCAATTGCACATCCGACAGCAAAACATGGCGAGGCTATACCGGCTGAGGACTCTGGTGCCGGCGACGGGGCCTCGGCAGCGACTGCGCTTCCAACAATAATAGAAATCGTCACTACTGCCGATAACAATGCAACGACTGAAGACTTGGACTGTGACACCGCCATCGTGTTATGTTATATCTTTCTCTCTCTGACTCTGTGTTTGTGTGTGTGTGTGATACACAGAGAGAAAAGATGGGTAGAAAATAGTGAGAGGAGAGACGGATTGAGGAGTGATTTATGCAGATGGTGTATGTCCATGATTAGGGCATTGGGGCAGCTGCCCGAGATTACAGGCTGGTGATTGGTAAGGAGACAGCTGAGCTGGTCACTTTTATTTATATACGCGAATGGTTTTACATACGCGCGGTGCATAATGTGAAACAATTAAAATTTTCAGTTTTTAAATTTTTGTTTACTACTTCCTAAAATATTAACATATTATGTGATATATTTGGTGAGAAAAATTATATAGTATTGAATTATATTTTCTATAATAAATAGAAATATTATTTATTATAAATCAAATATATATATCAAAAATCACTTACTCAATCTTCAACTTGTGAGGGCGTTGGGTGGAGAATAAAATTAGACTTTTAATAAAAAAATTTGAAATGTGTAGTTAAAAAGTTGTTGATCCTATAAAATACGTGGTTAAAATTTAATGTTGACTTTGAATTAAAATTTTAATATAAAACATTTCAACTTGAAAAAGATAAAAAGGTCAAAAGAGTTCAAAAAAGAAACAAATAGAAACTTACATAAGAGTATATTAGTGCTTTAAACTTCATAGGAAAATGAAAATGTATTTGAGTTTGATGTTGCCTATGTGAAATAAAAAGAATGAGTTGTGCTTGCTTATATTTAGGATTTTGAAGTTTCTTTTTATATATTTTTTCGAGTTTTACAAAGAAGTATGTTAAAATGTTATCGAACAAGAGAAATTAAAGTGAGAGACATACAGATGGTTGCAATTTGATGGATTTGAGATATCCTAGAAAATCGTATGAGGTTGGCGAGAAAGAGATATATAGTAAAAGGGGACATCTTTTTTCTTTATCTATTTATGGAAAAGTGGGAAATATAATTTTTTTTCCCACTAATGAAAAAGTTTTAATAACGCGTTTTCTTTCAGATAGGCTTATTGAAGAAATTATTCTAAACATGAATTTGACATCCACTATATTTCACATATATAGACGTGTTTAAATTAATTGATATCAATTTTATAATTTTCACTAGCAATTTTGAGCAAAAAATGTAGGACGCAATAAAAATATTTTCTTGTTCTACAAACTTTTACTTTCTCACCCATTCAAAACAAAATGGATTTTATAGCACACAGAGGTCTCGTTTAATGAAATTGACAAATAAAGGTCAACTTGAATTATTTTTTCTCAAATTAAAATTGAAAAAACAAAACGAAATTCTAATTTATTTGAGAGCGAGTGGAGTGCAAACGAGATTGAGGGAGGTGTGAGAACATTTTTAAAGGAAAATCATTACCAAACGCATTACCATCAATAATGTGGAGTCATACGTTGCAGTTAGTTGGGTCCACTTTCCTGCAGTTGACCAATCATAACCATACACCTGCAATTGCGTGGCAACGAAAAACAACAGGAGTCAAACTGTGAGCGATGGTAAATTTGAGCTTCGAGAACCTTCCATTACCTACTGAGAAACGCGTGTCCCATTTTGTTAGGACCCTATTTTATTTTAATAAAATTCTTTGGAAAACATATAACATTTATTACATACTTGTGTTGTATATAGCTCGACACGCGTAAAATTATTTGAATCGGAACAAGTTAGATTGACTCATGCACAAGAACACAACACACGTAAAATCTTAAATGGCATCGAATATTAGTTTCATCTTTCGAGAAATCTATGCAGAGGATTCTTTTCAAAATATAAGAATTGATTCCTCGTCTAAAATCCCAAATACTTGGGTGCCAAGGAGAATAACCGATCCAGAGCACTAGGAGCAAATTTTCTAGCGAAAAGATAACAAATGGAATATGAATTGTCATTATATACACAACTTTGGCCTTCAAGAATTCTCTTCATGAATTCCTCGGTGATATCTGATTGTCCAAATGTAGCCGGGTGAGCCCCTCCCCTCGACCAGTCAGTCCAAGTTATGGTTCTATTTGCCAGTAAATTTGCAGCCCGAATAGTCAAAAGGGTCGGAAAATAGTGCTCGTCCACATAACACTCTGGTTTGCAGAACTCTGAAAATTTTGGGTAGAATTTAGCATCTTCAACAATGTAGAGAGCAAGTTTTCTGTTGATTTCAAACCATTGCGACCCTTTACGCCATTGGGTGATGTTAACCTCAGGCAACATGCTGTAATTATAGCGCCCTCTACCGTCCTTCCCCGGCTCATCAAGTGCGCCAATGAAGCTATATTTGGATTTTGATATGTGGTGGTATACGGTAGTAAAATTGAAGAGGGGAATGCATGACTCGGAAAGTAGAACAAACCACTCGTTGTGTATATCGAGCAAGGCATTAGCAAGAAGTCTTCTCTCTGCGTCACACATGCTCATCTTTCCCCATTCTGATACCTGAAGAAGTAAATCACAAAATCATCAGCTAATGTATGAGATGCTGGATTAGATGTGTTTCCAGATATCAAGAAAACTAAACTAGATATTGAAGAAAGCGTAGTGTTTATCCTTGAAGATTTGAACCCTGAACATATCAAATGCTTGTCAAATTTTCTTGAGAAGAGCCAAGGAAAACGCAAAATAATTCAGCTGTTTTCCTCCATCCACCTCGTGGGATAAAAGGATTGCGCCAATTGGCAACCATTTAAGTTACGTCCCTTGCTCTACTTCCTTAGCCAAAAATGGAGGCGGGAAAGCATCAATTTCTACAAAACCAAACTTGTTCTCTAGAAGTATAAATCCCTTACTCTATTTCCTTAGTCGAAATAAAGGGGTGGGAAATCATTGCTTTCTCCTAATCAACTCTTGCACACTAAAATCAACTCTAACTCTTAAGAGTCTAAATCAATTTTGAACCATCAATAGCGCAGCGGAATGGCACATTACATGATCAATACATTCTTGATGCCAATAAGTTGAGTGTGCAGCTCCTCATTATTGAAACGACGTAAGCTTTCCTATACATCATTGTCAAAGTGAATACAAGTGAAGGATGGGATCTGATTCAAGAGCCTATGCCGTCGCACTCTTGGCAAGAAAACATAATGCAGTCATTTTCAACAAAGTCTGCCAAACTTTTGCTCTACTCAGCACTCTTGTTTCAAAAGCCATCTAAAGAATACCCAGAAGTCTTATGCCCTCGCCAAATTGGCATAGATTGCTTAAAAGAGGTCGTGCAATCCTATGACAGAGAATTGACTCAGATGTCCAGTCCGAGAACTTGAAAATCCTAGGAAGCACAGATTGACATTTGAACCGAAACAAACTCTGCACTTCCATAGTTTGGCAGTAATGCAGGACATATATATTGGTTCTTTGATGTAGGACACAAACTGCAAGGCAATCCAACATACCAGTTCCTCATATTGTGTTTAATGAAGAGTTTAATAATCTTTATATGTCAAACGCAAAAGAGTATGTCCTAGTTCAACATTTATCTAGCATGTGAGGTAACAATTGAACTAGAGAATAGCTCTATGCCTCTATCCATCAGCCGCCAAACTAGATCGATGCTTCCTAATATAAAGGTATACAGTCAATCAAAAATCACAGCTAAATTGCTTACAGAAGACGGTGTAAAACATATGTACCTGACTTGGAATCTGTCTACCGTAAAAAACTGATGACAATGGAAAATCAGCCTGATATGATGGCAGTGAATGAATATATATTGAATACAATCCCTTGTGACCCTTAAAAAACCTCTCCCAAAGAGGTGCCAATGGCAATGGCCCCTTAGTCAAGAACATGAATGCAATCTTCGGAACCCTCTTAAATGGATACTTCTTCACTCTGGGAGCAAAAGATGCCCTCCACAACAACTCCTCCTCGCTCATTGAATGATTCAAATCGGCAGTAGGCCGCATCCAATGGTCCAGATTATTGGGTGCTTCCCCATTGCAGGACTGTAAACTAGGCTTTACTGTAGTCATTACTACACTTTGAACTCCAAAATGCTTAATCGTATAGATATTAGTTATAGAGAAAGTGAAACACAAGAACAGAAAAAGAAAAAGCGATTGAAGCAGCCTTCGGGGCAAAACCCTAGACTGGCTTGTCCTGCTAATCACAGTAGGCTCTTCGCCTTCCTCCATCTGTCTATCAACACTTGAAAAGCGTCCAAAAATAACCACAATCTCCTCGATCACGGTCAATTCATTAATAATATCAAGAATTCCCAAATGGACACTCTTTTTTCCATCGTTTGAATCTAAACAAAAAATTTTAAAAGCAAGAAAAATTCTCTCAAAAATAGAGAAGAGAAAGAGGGAGAAAAGTAATTCGGAGTCTGTTCTTGGAGTAGTGGTCTAAGAGAATAAAAGCGAGATTAGTATTGGTGGAATCACTAATTAGGGGCTGTTTGGACCCGATTTTTTCACCAAAAAAATTGATTTTTTGACCGTTATTTTACTATTTCAGCCGTCATATTTGACTTCTTCTCTCATAGGTGACCCCACTTTTCTCCTAACGGTCAAAAAATCAATTCTCAAAATCACTCCCAAACAAGCTCTAGGGCTGGTACAAATTTTAAACCAATTAAAAAAAAAGTATCATTATTTTACTATTTCAATCGTTATTTTTGAATTCTTCTCTTACAAGTAGGAACCACTTTATCTCTAACGATCTAAAAATCAATTACCAAAATCCCTACAAAACAAGTGCTTAATAAATTATAGAGGGATAGTGGAGGAAGAATTTGAGCAGAAAGAGATAAATACGAGATAGATGTTACACTTGCTCTATAATGATGTTCATCACTTCACATGAAAAGAACTGATAAAACATAATTTATTTGAAATGAATTCCTTGTATGTGAGGGAATGGACATCCTCATAAATACCGTATTATATACAAATAACAAATTCCTAAATACGAAAAGGGTGGCAAAATCCCAGAGATGTGAAAAAAGTGTTCTAAAAAATCCTGAAACGTGCGTCTTGTGATCATTACGCACACGGATCCAGAAGTATTAATCTAGGTTGAATAAGACTTTCTTAGAATAATAACGAGGGAGGTCTTATTATCTTGAGTACAACTGCTTATTCCCATTCGGAATTGATCTTGATCTTCATATGATTTGGTAAGGTGATAAAAGATTAATAAATTCATACAATGTCAAATGAAAAGATAAATAGAATTATTCTATTATTCCTATAGGAATTGGTTCAAATAATTAACCAAAAATTAAAAAATGAAAAGGTGTGTAAAAGTGAAAAATGAGAAGGTGTGTAAAAGTGAAAAATGAAAATGTGTGATTACGTGTCAACTTCGATCAAATATTCGAACTTGATCCGATGGTTAAATTACAAAAGTAAATAGACCAACTTATTCTACTCGTCGAGTAGATCGTCGTGTTATATTTGGAATCTCGAAACCAATTCTGGATGAATGAGAAATTGCGGACTAAAATTGGAAGAAATGAAGTGTTGCAACTTTTAGAAATGATGCATGTTTTAGCCAAGTTTTGCAACTTTTTTAAAGGATGTATGTTTTTGCCCACACTACTTCATTTGCACCCTTTCTACATTTATAAATAAAACCCTATAAACATGATTTTGAGTACATCAATTGTATTGAGCATTCATTATCCTCTTGCAATTCTTATCTTTTTAATTCCATAGCATTTTCATGCATTTCCTTGGTAGAGAGGAAATTCCGTTCGAGTTTGTTGGTCGAAATCATTTGGAGTGCTCCTATGGCCTGACGTGGTCGTTGTATCTTGAGAAATAATTGTCGAAAAACCGTTAGCACCGATGCGGGTTAAATTCATCTTAAGGAAAGAGTTATACTCGCCTCGACCAATCATATCGCTTACATCTATTTTCTTCTGATTTCATTTCTACTTGATTTTAGAAATTGATTAATTTTATTTATATGGTTTATGAAAAGTTCGATGTGAAGAATCACATGTTTTAATTTAAGAATAAAAATAGTCAGATTCGATAATCATTGGTTAGTTTCTCAAACTCCATTTCGATAAGTCGAAACCTTGTTTCGATTTCGTGAATATGAACGGTATATATTTTTGTGAATATAATATACACATAATCGGTGTATTCTCCAATAATCTTAAGATGAACTTTGTTGATTTTCTCGTGCATTTTATATTTACGTTCTTGGAAATTATATAGTATGTAATTCTGAAAATTATGTATAAACACGTGAATCTGTGAACTGACAATTGGTTAAACACTTAAATTAATGGTATATATGATATTCCAAATAATTGTACTTGCAGAAATTGTGATACCAATTGGAAAATTGGCAGTTTTAATTTGCTGACATCTTTTAATTAAACAAGTGGTTTTGTACATGAGGAATCTTGATTGGGTGTTTGTACACTCATATTGATGGTTCTGTTCTCCATGAAACAAAATTTGTGCAAAAATAATTGGAGTCAGAATGTCTAATGACATGAATTGGTCTTTTACCATAAGTTGTGTTACCAAATAAAATTGCCTTGCATACATGAAAAGATGCATATTTAATGAATAAGTTACTGATTTGATGATATTAAATAAATTAAATGAAGGGTTGCTTCAATTTATTAGTAATTAATTACTTGTGCAATTGTGAATTTAATCATGTTGTAACTGCCTCAATTAAAAGTAGTCAACTATTATATGTCGTCCATTCATTTAGAATATGATATATGATTGCAATTGTTAATGCATGGTTGCTGAACCAGTACGTTTCTTTCCAAGATGGTTTATTTTTGAACAAGTGAATGTGATTCTAAAAGCAGTTTACTATATGACAACAAAATATGGAAATGTGTGGACCTTCTCCATGAGACATTTTATAGAATAAACTTATACAAATGAATGTATAAATATTTGGAATATATGTTGCTATTCCTACACTTTGTTTATGATGAATGGGATATTGTTAAAACCAACTCGAGTCCAATAATGAATGGATGGAAATAAAGAAATTATTTCTAACCATTGGACATATAAGGATGCCAATTATTTGATGAAAGTACATGAACTTTCATGACGATTCCTTTGATTGGAATATGATAATGGCATGGTAAATTAGTTGGTTAAAATTTCATATCTTATTGAAATTATACTAACTTTGACTGTGGTGATAGCCTCAATTAATTTCATAAAATTAAATGAGAAAATTTAAGCAAATATCATTATTTAGTAATGAGAATTAAGCCACTTAATTATTTGAAATCGTAGAAAATTTTGCATGGAAAGATGTATCTTTTCATATGGAGAATCATGACTTTTGGTATGATTAATTTTCAATGGGTGTGTCTCTTCATAGAGATTAATTCAAGAGGTGTGTCCTTTTGTAAGATTGTGTCTTTTGAGAACACAACTTTTCAATCGATAGTTGAAATGAAACTATCATGTGAAATGTCAAAAATGTGATAAGTTGCATATATTTGAAGAAGTTACAATGCTTAGCCCTCTTTATTGTTGAATTTGACTTCAATCATGAAACCAATTAAGTTGGTATATGCTTGGAAAGCATTGTTGGTCCATATGATGACCTTGATTTAATTTAGATGATCAAAATTAATTAAATTAAAATACGTTAATGCAACTTTAATTGAAATAAATTGTGAGTCAAACGACCACTACTTTGAAAGTATTTAGACTTCCACGAAACACTCGATGCGGATATTATCTAAAAGATAAATGAATAGAACTATGAAAAAGTTGCTGAATCCTAAGTTCAATTGTAACCCAAAGATGTGGGGGTTATCATAAGTGCTCGTGAACTTGAATGAAAAGTTTAAAACTTATGGATGCAACGTTACTAGATTGCATATGTATTCTTAATTGAGAAATTGTGGCGGTAACTCAATTTAATAGTTACGTTTACTTCTATCTTATAATCAAGAACGATATCTATGAAGGTAGAAAGATAGAAAATCCTTATACTAATTATAAGGATGATATATACTAAGTCTAAGGTGGATGAAATGAGTTGTAAAGCCGATTATGGTGTTTATTTAGACATGCAAGAACAATTGGAATATATGAACAATATTCATAAAGTTCGAATGCATGGTAATGTTTTAATGATAATATTGAATACCCATGATTCTGAAATTTACTTGTAAACATGGTTGACTAGTGTAATAATTAGATAAAAAAAATCCTCTAACATTGTTGTTTGGAAATTGATAAAGTTTTAGATAAAGCTAATGAGGCATGTAGCTTCATGAGAGGATTTCTTGGTGGCGATAATTTGTATCTATCAAATGAAACGATCATTCGCTAGCAATATTTGATAAACTATTAAGTCACAAGTAATGGTAAGTCTAAACGTATAAGTCATAGACGTAATACCGTTAAACAGTTGATCTCAATGATATAAACTCGTGGTACCTTTAAAGAGATTTATTAAGAGAGATTAAAAATATTGCATATCAAAGGGAATGAGGTTAAGCCTACTACGTTAGAGTCTTTGTAATGGTAACCCTACCTTGTTGACTGGAGATCCCAAAATCTTAGTTTAAAGGGACAACTAAGTTATGAAAATTCCACGAAGCACTTAGGAAAATAATTTCCTAACTCATTCCTATGATATTAAAGTGCTTTCTGCAGAGTTGTAAGAGGTTAAGATAATCTTTTAATGATCCTATATTTTGATTAAGTCAAGTGGAGTAGGACAAAATACTCTTAATAGGAGGTCACCTATGTGAGTGTGAAGTTGGGCCGCTTCAATGAGAATTATTCAAGGCTTGAATTCTTTAAACACTCGCAGAATCAGGAAGGATTCAGGGTCAAAATGAACCAAGTCATGAGAACCATGAACGGTTTAGGAAAAACATTGTATGAGTTTCGTTGTCTTGGCTTACACTAAAGACTGAATGATTCAAGACATCACATCCACCAATTAGCCGAGTAAGTCCGATAGTATTTTACTAAGGGAGGTTCAACGCCAGAACTACCTTCCTTGATGCAGTGTTTTTCGCACCCTCTCTACATTGCATCATATCATCGCATTGGCATATGTGTACCCAATTTTCATTTATGTGAGGGATTGTAAGAATTAGTTCAAATAATTAAACAAAAATTGAAAAATGAAAAGGTGTGTAAAAGTGGAAAATGTGAAAATGTGTGTAAAAGTGAAAAATGAAAAGGTATGACTACGTGTCAATTTCGATCGAATATTCGGACTTGATCCGATGGTCAAATTATAAAAATAAATAGACCAACTTATTCTGCTCATCGAGCAGATCGTCTGGTATATTTGGAATTTCAAAATCAATTTCGGATGAATGAGAAATTGCGGACCAAAGTTGGAAGAAATGAAGTGTTGCAACTTTTCGATAGAATGCATGTTTTGGCCAAGTGTTGCAACTTTTTGAAAGGATGCATGTTTTTGGCCACACTACTTTATTTGTACCCTTTCTACATCTATAAATAGAACCCTATAGACATGATTTTGAGTACACAAATTGCATTGAGCATTCATTCTCCTCTTGCAATTCTCTCCTTTTTAATTCCATGGCATTTTCATGCATTTCCTTGGTAGAGAGGGAATTCTGTTCGAGTTCGTTGATCGAAATTATTTGGAGTGCTCCTATGGCCTGACATGGTCGTTGTATCTTGGGAGATGATTGTCGAAAAACCGTTAGCACCGATGCGGGGCAAATTCATCTTAAGGAAAGAGTTATACTCGCCTTGACCAATCATATCACTTACATCTAATTTTTTCTGATTTCATTTCTACTTGATTTTAGAAAATGATTAATTTTATTTATTTGGTTTATGCAAGGTTCGATATGAAGAATTACATGTTTTAATTCAAGAATGAAAATGATCTGATTCGATAATCATTGGTTAGTTTCTCAAACTCCATTTCGGTAAGTCGAAACCTTGTTTCGATTTCGTGAATATGAACGGTATATTTTTTGTGAATATAATATGCACATAATCGGTGTATTCTCCAACATCCCCGACATGAAATTGTGAGGTCCACGTGTTCCAAAAGATACTATAGTACGAATTCTTTTTTAATTTTAATATCCAATCACTAAAAATGACAAGTCTAACTGCATATGTAGGCACGATCCATGTTAGATTGGGTACACAAGTAATATAAAATTGTGGAAATTACATAGATGCCTACCTTTAAATATCACATTTCATAAATCATAAGTTAAGTTTATTATTTCAAAAATCAGATTTTTTTAATTAAGATAATATTATTAGATAAATATATTATAAAATTTAATTAAATTATAAACCAGCCCTCAACCCCACCTCATTTCCCCCAATCCATTCTCTCTCTCTCTCTCTCTCTCTCTCTTGTTTTTCACTCTCGCCTGAAACACAGCCGATCGTAGTTGGAAACCAATCATTGCTCCATTAGCCACTCACCTGAAAACAACCACTCGTAGGATTCCCCTACACAGCACAACCATGCGCAGGAACACCTTGGTGGCTCCATCAGCCACTCGCGTGACGCCACTCCTTCAGATCTGTTAGATCTCGTCAAAAATTGGAACTGCTGCGAAGCGAAGATGGTGCCGTCTAGTGTCGAAAAGCGACGTCGTTGTGCAGCAGCAATTGGTGTCATCTACAGCAGTGACAATTATTGGTGTTGGTATTTTTGGTGTTATTGTGGTAGTGGTTGTGGTGGTGATGAGATGATACAATGATGCTGTGGGTGCGATGGTGGTGGTGCGGTGATGCGATGGTAGAGGTGTATGGTGGCGGTCGTGGGGAACGAAGGTGCAATGGGTACAATGATTTTTTTTAATTTTTTGGGTGACGGTTTTGTTGAGTTTGGGGTTTTTTGTTGGTGATTGATGGTGTTGTGAATGTTGCGGTGATGGTGTTACAGGTGGTGGCACAGGCATTGGGTGACGGTTCGATGTTGGCACAGACATTGCGGTGGTGGTTGCGATTCGGTGCTTTGGCAATTTTTTATTTTTATTTTTTGGGTGACGGTTTTGTCTGTGTCTGGGTAGAGATTATGTTATCAGTTCTCTGGTTAAAATGAAAAATGGCAAAGATGCTAGTTAATTAACATGATTCATTAACACTGCAGAGGTGAAGATTGGGGCATGGATACAGGTCAAAATTGTTACAATGAAACCAAACCTGTGATCACAGATTAATTGGTTGATGGTCGTGGCGGTGGTCGTGATGGTGGTTGGGTGATGGTCATAGATTAATTGGTTGATCGTGACCATTAAATTGGTTAACTTGTGATCAATAAACAATATGTGACCACTAAAAATGATAAATTATGACCGAGGATAGTATGTGACCTAAAAAGAAATAATATGTGACCTATAATATTTATGATCTGTGACTTATGTGACCAACAAACAAATCGTGACCTACAAAATTTTTGAATTGTGACCTTAAAAAATCTTCATTTGCGATCGAAAAATAATTTGTGACTTATAAAATTTTTGATTTGTGACCAATAAATTGATAAGTGTGACTAAAAATTAATTCGTGACTAAAATTAATAAATAATACGTGACCTAAAAATTGTGTTTGTGACTTATAATTTATTGAGTTGTGACCGAAAAATTAATCTGTGACCTATAAAATTTTTGATTCGTGATCGAAAAATAATATGTGACTTATAAAAATTTTAATTTGTGACCGAAAAATAAGTTGCGACCAATAATATGATAAGTCGTGACTAAAAATTAATCCGTGATTAATTATTTTTGGATTTGTGACCAATAAACAAACTGTGACTTACAAAATTTTTGAATTGTGATCGTAAAAAATTTTGTGACATAAAATTTTTGATTTGTGACCAAAAAATAATAAGTAATTAATTATATTGTTAATTTGTGACCAAATTGTATAGATCCGTGACCTATATATATTTAATTAATAAAATAATTAATTAACTAATTAAATTATAAATAATTTTTAATAAAAATCTGATTTTAGAAATTTGATACTTGTTTTCTTATTTTTGAAATGTGCCATAATTAATTTCTTAGTTATGAAATTTTTCCTATAAAATTTGATGGGTTCGTCTGCTCATTAAATGGTTGGACCGTGGATCGACTTGGGCTCTCTCGACTCAGTTCCTACATTTTTAACCAAAAAAAAAAAAAATCGACTAAAAATCATTGGGGGAATTTGGATGTACATTAGTTAGTGGGTGGTGAGAATTGTTATGTTGGCCAGTTGGGGTGGTTTGCCAGGTATGATTCTTTCAAGTGAAACAGATATCTACATGATTGTGTTGGAGAATATTTGGTATAATAATGAATATTACCAGATATGATATGATTCGTTGGGGAATTTGCTTTTCACGTTCTGCAAATTCTATGTAACATTTTAGATATGATATATTCACTCATCTTGTGAATATGTAAATTTACTCACCCTCTTCTAAATATGAAATCTAGTAAATAATATTTGGCTGGCATAAATTTATTTTTTTCTTATTATCCTCGTTTCCTTCACTTCATTGTGCCCTGAAATAATGCAGAATAATTCTACCTTAAATAACATAATTAATTGGTGCCTTGTTTATGCCGTTTAGGGCAGAAAAAATATGCCTTAGATAGCATGACTAATTAGGACTATAACCCTAGTCCGCTTCATACCGAATATGTCCTAAAAGCATTTGGCCCTTGCTCCATTTCATTTAGTCCGACTCCGAGGGTGAATTTGAGGGTTGGATTGGTCTGTAGTCCAGCCCACATCCAATTGAGAGGTCCAATTTTTTTTTNTCATAAACAAAGAAGATTAAGTTTAATTTCACAATTCAGGTGGTATTTAAAAATTATTAAATTAATATATTCCTAACAACTATGTACCCACCCGTAACTCCCCTGCACCACACCCCCTTCTCTCTCCCCATTTTCTAGTTCTTTGACCGCCGCCTCAAAATTTTCAAAGCCGCAAGCGTGGTTGCCCGCCCATCGCACACATCGGCGACATCGACAGCTGCTATGAAGCTGTTCGTCCACGGTGAAGCTGCTCGCGCGTCGCAGTCGCCCCTTCAGATGGCTTCGCACGCAACGTCGGCGTCGCTCAGTGGCTTCTCTGTGAAGCTTATATTTTCAATGGTGAGTTGGTGGTTTTGTAGATACAAGATGTGGTAATGGTGCTTTGGGGGTCGTTTTGAGAGTTGGTTTTGTTGGATTTGGTACCGGAGACTGATTTTTGTTGGTGGCGGTGGATCTGGCGGTAGGGCGATTTTTGTTGAATCAGTCAAAACTAGTAACGTCGACGGAATTACAAATCTGCTGTTACAAGCATTCAGGCGTTAATTTACAAGTCATATTTGGTATGGTGGAAACGCCTCGTCAAAACCTAGAGGGAAGAAACGACGAAGTCATTTAATTTCCAAAAGAAGCCAGCAAAAGCATGGACTATCAAAAATTTCTGAAGTTGACGAAAAGGTTTAAACATTCTTGCATCTCAATTTTAAAATATAAATGATAGATGATACAAGGAAATTTTTTATCGTTGGACTAGAGATACATTTGTTGCGAATCAGTTTTCTAGTGATTTTTTATACGTTTTTCTTAATTTTAATTCTTTGAAGTAGATGGATATCTTGTGACAAGGCCTTA